CGAGCTTTAACAGGAAAAGGAAAAAAAAAAAAAAAAAAAAAAAAATTATATATATATTAATACTGAATAACAAAATAGGTAGTTGTTTTGGTGAGAATTCATTGACTGAGTTTATTGGAAAAATTAATACTCACCCTTACAACTTGAGATTCATCTCTGATTTGAAGAGGTCCTAGGAAAGGATGGTCTAACATGAGGGTCTTCACCATTCCAACTTGTGCAGCTGTAATAGTCCTGCCCAGAGGCAGGAAGGCTGTTGACCCTACCGAAGGCAATTGTCAATCGTCTGAGGGACGGCTCAGCTTGTAAAGGGAACCCAGATATATATAAAAAAATCTTTCCACCCTAAAATTACAGTAAGGTATTCTTTCCCTGCCCCCTATTAGCCCTCAAGCCATTTCTCGTACTTGGCTAAATTTGAAGAGAAGAATTAAAAATAAGGAAGTGTGAGCATATTGAATACCCTGAGCATTTTAAGCCACCAGCAAAAAATCAGGCTTCATACATATTTTCATAGAAAATCCATAAAGAATGAAAAGTACTTTGTGGTTATTTATCAACTGAGAAATTAGATTTTTTAAAAGCACGGTATGCCTGTTGATGCCAGTTCATTTTAACCAGCAATTTTCTGGATCGTTTAGATATGATCTGTAAGAGGACTAAATTACTGTGCACTGTTACTTTTTGTACAAGTGAGAACTATAAAATCAAGCTCACCATCATTATTTATGTTGAAACTCTTTGGGAACCTCCAGGAAGCGATAAGGCATTCATTTTTGTCCTTTTTTGGAATTTTGGGGAAGAAGGAAGCAAGGGGCGCGGCTTTGGAGGATGACAGGTAGGGACTGCCCGGCTCTAAGTGGTGACTGAACTTTAACTGAAAGAGTTAATGATAACCATACATTTGGTTTTAAAATGTGACCTCGGACACTAGTGATTTTTTTTCACCTCTGTGCAGTGTTCGGCACTATTATTAATGCAGTAAAATCAGTAACATTAGTCATCTTAAAAGGGTTATTACTCAAGATGATTTAAATTGTGAAAATGTCAGTAGAGCCTGCACGCATCCTGCTAGAGACGCCGTGATTTACACCCTCTGACACCGTCCTGCTCTGAGCCAGCCCGGGGAAGGAGCGGCTGCTTGCTGCTCTGATCCACATGCAGAGTGTCCGAGGGCTGGCCAGGCTCCGGGTGCCAGCCGGCTGCGTGCATTGGGTCACAAGCTGCATGCCTCACGCAGACCCCCAGAATCTCGCACATCTAGGTGGAGAAGAATTGGTGGGAAAAGTAGTGCAAAGAAAAACATTATTTCCGAGACCTCGTTCCTGATTTTCGGTATGGATCCCATGTGATTTGTAAATCCACGAAAGGCATGTATTGGGAAAATGTTAACTGATATTTGGAGTCTAAAGGGCTCATCAGATGCAGTCACTCGGACAGCAGTTTACTAAGATAACTGCTGCCTGATATTTAGCACTTGGACCCGAATGCATAGTTGTATGGGAGCCATAATTTCCATGTTAGTTTTCACTTATGTGAATGGATTAAAGAACTTAAAATTCAAGTCAAATTCAGAAAAGCTGCCAGAAAGTAGAAATCAATGACTAATAAAGAGATATTGCTAATAAGGCGTGGAAGTATACTACCTTTAGCATGGCAGCAAATGAGTGAGCCACAGACACGGTGTTCAGATGTAGCTGGTTCTTATTTTCCCTTCAAACCGAAGTAGAGCTTCCCAGAGACTGAATTTTCTAAACAGCAGGTGAGGAGGGCAGATGTTGGTAGATAGGGATGGGGCGGTCTACTGCTTAACTTTGCTTCGTTTTCTTGAACTAATGATAAGTCCCCACACTTGCCTTTGTGGACTCATCCGTCAGCACTGTTGAGAACAAAGAGATCTGCAATAGAAAATATCCATAATTTCCAAATACTGTCTGATTGAAACTTTTTTTTTCAAATCCTTATCTGAGGATATTTTTTCCATTGAGTTCTAGAGAGAGTAGAAGGGAGGGAGAGAGAGAGCGAGAGAGAAACATCAGTGTACCTGCAACCGAGGTACGAGCCCTTGACTGGAGATCAAACCCGTGACCCCTCGGTCCACAGGCCAAGACTCTAGCCACCGAGCAAAACCGGCCAGGGCTTGAACCGTTTTGTTAACATGCACAGTGTAGCGTCCTTCTTAAAGATTGTGCTTTCCTGCTGTCAGGTTCTACCCACAAAGAAAAATTTCTCTGAATTTATGCTTTTACTGTAACAATATCAGAACAACTTCAAATACACGGAAAGGTCCCTTCAGTGGTTCAGAATAAGCTCTCAGATGAGCATGAGCAAGGCTGTGGGGGAGAAAGTGACCGGGGGTGGGTGTCCCCTGACCTGTGCGTCAGGGAAGGGAAGGAGTCTCTGACACGTGTGCTCTCATGTCCCTGTGTCCCCAGATGAACACCTCACTGCTGGGAAGCATCGGCATGCTCAACTCGGCACCCCAGCTGCGCTGTATTAAAACCTACCAGGTGCCCCCTGTGCAGCCGGCCTCCCCCGGCCCCCACAACGCCCTCCGGCTAGCCCGGCTCATCTGGACGTCCAACCGCAACATCATCCTGATGGCCCACGACGGGAAGGAGCACCGCTTCATGGTCTGAGGCTGGCGCTGCCCGTGCCTGCTCTCGCGCACGCAGTTCTCTAAGCCCAGATCCCTCTGTCCTTATGCTGGGTCCCTCCTCAGTGCTGCCCACCCAGGGGCATCGGGGGCGCGGCCTGGTCTGTGTCACTTCTGCATGGTCTGGGGCATTCGCCTGCGCGGGCACCTATTGATTCAGAGGCATGCACACGCCGCTCTGCAGGATGTGGCCTTCCGTCACAGGTCAAGTCTCCCTGCTGGAGAGGGAAGGAGGCGGGTCCCTGGGCACACTCCTTGGCTGGCTGCACCGGAAGCCCGAAAGTCAGCGAACACTGATCGCCGCCCAGCCCAATCAGCTGTCCCTCGAGCTGCACCCCCTTTTCTGAAATGCTGCTGGGGCCGGTCATGCTGGCACTGGGTTTTGAGGTAACGTGGCCGTCCTAATTGTCAAAATTATTTTCCTTTGGATTTCCTAAAACACATTATTGTCTACCACAAAGATTCTGTGTTTACATGGGTTTTTTTTTTCCTTCAGCTGATTGTTAGGAAATTGCTAATCCAACTACCTAGGGTTTAACCACTATCTTCGTTATTAATACCTAACTGATTTGGGATTAATGAGAAAATATACCAAACAAAAAAATTTTCCCCCGGTGGAGAATACAGTTTCCCAGACACATAGCCTTCTAAAATGCTCACATCCTGCTTAAGTGATGGCGTATTTAGTAGTTTAAAACAAAATCATCTCTTGATGATCTAGTTAATATAATTATCCGGTGACTATAACAAATCTCTTAAACGGACTTTTACAAAAAAGAATAAGTTTAGAAGCATAACATATACCTAAAAAGAAGACGCTGTGTCAGTGGCTGCAGATGTTCAAGTCAGAGCTTGCCCTTCCTTCCAGAAACTTCACAGACCTGCAGTTCCCAGGTGTACGGCTTAGGTCAGTTATCACGTAATCGTTCAGCCTTCAAACTGCTACTGACCAACTGCAGACAAATAAAGACAGCGTTTCTTTAAACAAGTATCCTAGAAAATTAGGGACAGTGGGGCAAGCACCCGGGCATCTGTATGGGGACAGGGCTCGGTCAGCCTGAGCGACATTGCGGTGAGAGCTCACCGCCCTCTGACGGCGGCTTTCCCAGCTGCTCTCACCTCGCACGTCACATTCTGCGGCTCTGGCTCACAGTGATGGGGGGAATCCATCAAATAATATTCTGTATGAATCGCTCCTGACAAACCTCGATCTGTATATAGTTGGGGATTTGGTTGGTTGGTTGGTTAGTTGAGTAAAATGGGGGTGTTAATGCAGAAATAGAAAATGATTTATGAAATTCAGAGAAAATATACGAAGTTTACAGAGGAACCGAAATCATAATGGGAGCATTTAATTTAAAAGGTGTAGATGTCCGGGTTCATGTAATATCCAAAAGAGTAAGACCATAGTCCGGGAACAAATATATCTGTAACTTTCTTGAAACAGATTTTTAAAGACCCTGTTAAGAAACTAAGACCATTAGCCCTCTCTCCCCTATTGATGTGAAGTATGTTATTTCCACTGATGGCAAACCTGTACTATCCCTTGGTTGTAGACTTTGGGTGTTCTTTCACAGGTGAATTTATGACACATGCATGTACATTGTACTTATAAAGATAAGAAATGTAGTTTCCAGGAAGAAACCACGAACTATGCAGTGTAGACTTTGTTTGCTGGACATGCTGTTGTGTTCGATGTAGGTAGAGAAGCCGAGGTAAATGGTTGTCCCCGAGGGCTCGAGTCCTCTCGGGCCCCAGCACCTGTCTCCTGTGTGAACTGCACTGGGGGTACATTCATTCTGGACCGCACGGCTGTTTTGGAATGCTGATGTGGAAGGGTACCTTGGAGATTTCTTGAAACAAAATGTTCAGTGCATCCGAGAAAGGTGTGAGGCTGCTAGGCAGGCCCCCGCATGCACGGATGGACGGCACACGCCACGGACATTTAGAACAACACCGTGAGGCCCACAGGAGCCAGACACCTGGGCAGCTCGGCCAGCCTGTCCCGCGTTGTCTGCAGATAGCCGAAGTTATTGGCCAGTAGAATATTTTGATTACAAAACTCTGGGGTGGATGATGGGTGATGGTTAGACAGATATCTCTCACTGCTGAACTAATATTTGCATTCTTGTTAACACACATCTTTCCTTGGCTATTTTGACAACCACAGTCCACACTTCACCACAGCTTAGGTTTCTCAGCGCCGAGGTAAACTTCGTATTGTCATGCCAGTGTATGCTTTCGGTGTTTTATTACTTTCCTAGGCACTGTATTTGGACCTTTCCTTGTTAATGTAGAGGCACATGTGGCCTCTCTGATCATTTACAAGCGGAAGATGACATGATGCCATGCCTGTGTGGGAAAGTACTGCCTGGACTCACCATGTCCAGCGAGTGGATTAAATGTCTGCCTCCCAAGACAGCTCTGGATGACTCCACTTAGTAGATTCTATATGTGCCGGGTGTTCCTCTGTACATATGTGTGTTAAATAAAGCTGGATTGTACTGAAGATTGTTTTTCCCATTAAAACCATTATTCACTCTTAAACATTCTCAATTGAAATCCATATGCTTCCTCCCCTCCATCCCCCCCACTCCCTTTGGTACCAAATCAAGCCTTCCATTTCCATCTAATTATTCATTTCCCCAGAGAGCTAGCTTCAGGAAAGGTGAACTTGTTCACAGAGGACAATAGCGCAGCAGCAAGGGAGTCCCCCTCCTGCAGTGCCCAAATGTGAGCACCGAGAAACACCCGACCAGAAACTCAACAGCACCCTCTGTGGTTTGGGCAAGGGAATTGCATGCACATTGCTCTCATCTCCACCCCAAGTTGCTCCTAAATGGATTGTTAATTGTACCAAGTTATGTCTTGTCAGATGTGATGACGTGGGTTGGCGGCCCCAAGATAGGGGGCTGGATTGAGATCATGCAATTCACTTAATATAATACTCGTTTGGAGTTGGATTTGAATCCCTGAAGTAAAGGGTGGAATTGGTTTTCAAAAAAGCAAGAGTAACAAAAGAGATCATTATGGCTCACAGAGGGTTACATGTGTAAGTAGTGAGTGTACTTCTTTAATTTTCAGACAAGAACATAGAACATCTTGAAATGAGTCACTCGTCATGTAGCTGAATAATTTCCTTTAAGAAATAAACATTAAAGGAGTGGATGGCTGCATCTTGGCCCTACCTAGTCAAATGCCCAGTGTCCATCCCAGGAATTGTGTTAGCATCTCCTGATGACTTAAATGTGTCCTTCTAGGGAAAACGGGGCAGCACCAGTTCTATATGATTGGTGATCACATAAACCGATCAAATGCGGAAAGGGCATGACATTAATAGGAAGGTAAAGCCAACCCGTGCAGGGTGAACTTTCACCTTTCACCCCTCGGCTGACTGACAGAGCTGAGTGTTGAAGAAAATCAATACTTTGGAGCCAGGAGGGAGATATTTCCAGCCTCTAACTAGAGAATGTATTTTGACAAGGCCAAGATAATCCACGCTGCACAGGAGAAAGAGAAAGAAGACTCATTTTTAAAGCTTGACACTTCAAGGTGTTTTTGTCCAGTGGTTTCGAGAGCGTCAATACATACAAATACCAAAGGTCAAAAAGAAAAGCCGGAGGAATTTCAAAAATTAGATGTTCAGTTCTTTCTGCTGTTTACAAAGTAAAAAAAAAAAGGCCACAGGGAGGCTTGTGCTTGTAATTGTCGTTTAAAGGAACCGAGCTCACAACCTAAGGTTTTATAGAGGCAGCGCCATGAAGAGAGAAGGCAGCTCGACTTCTGGTTTCTGTACATTTTTTCCCCCTTGGTTACATCGCTTTTGTGCTGACATCTCAGAATCTTCTTGCTTTTTGATTCTTGTTGGCAAATCTTAGACCCTCCTTCACATCTGATTCAATCATTTGCATGAGAAAGGAGCTCATGTGTCTTTAAAACTTAAATTGTTTCTAGTTTCCCAAGCCCCCGTTAAGCAAATTAGTTATGAAAGCATCCTCATTAGTGCGTTTAAAGTGAGAGAGGGATGCATCTCTAGGAAACAGGTAAGCAATTCACCGCACTCTCCCTGGCAAGGCTAGATCCATTCATTCTGTCCACAGTGCCTCCACCAAAGAGAGACAGATTCTTTCCTTTCCTACAGAGAAGAAAACAGTCGAGCTGCCCACACCATCCCGCCGAGTGCAGAAGGACAAAGGAGTCCTGAGGAGGCAAAATATCTAAAGCAGTGGTTCTCAACCTTCCTAATGCCGCGACCCTTTAATACAGTTCCTCATGTTGTGGTGACCCCCAACCATAAAATTATTTTCGTTGCTACTTCATAACTGTAATTTTGCTAGTTATGAATTGTAATGTAAATATCTGATATGCAGGATGTATTTTCATTGTTACAAATTGAACATAATTAAAGCATAGTGATTAATCACAAAAACAATATGTAATTATATATGCGTTTTCCGATGGTCTTAGGCGACCCCCGTGAAAGGGTCGTTTGACCCCCAGAGGGTTGCTACCCAAAGGTTGAGAACCGCTGATCTAAAGGAACCTCTGTTTTCTCCTGTGAACCTATGCTAATTATACAATGATTAAAATAACAATGAACATCTGGGCTTCATTTACATACCCTCTTTCTCATTAAAACAAGGTTGTAAATACCTGTGTTCTTTGGGAAACATTGTTGGATTTTTGCATTGTGCTTTTATGTAGACTCTAATAACAGGTCTGGACATCTTACCCAAAGGGGTGTCGCTGGTTCTACTTGAATTCTCCAGGCTCTTCACTACATTGTAGGTGTTGCTATCTTCTCACCAAAATGTCTAGACACTGAGGCAATCCCAAGAGATAGGCCAGTGCATGGGGCTGGTTGGCTGTGGCTGTGGAACTTGTGAGTGGTTGTGCAAAAAGAAAGGAGTTCGCCACATTAAATTCAGGACATGTATCAGCATCAGGGACGTCTTTGACTTATTATATGATTATCTTGCAAATATACATCTACGGAGACTGAACAAGACTCCGGTAAAGTATTACAGAGTGGTTTTACACCTGCACTTTCTCACCTCCCAGTTCAGCGCCTTCAGGAACTGGGAGACGGAAGCAAAGGGAACTGCGTGCACTGCTGTTGCCAATAGCTTCTTGTTTTGACTAGTGTCAAAATGACTTAGCACTTGGGTTTGCCCACAGATGAAATGTATTGTCTAAAACTTGCCCCACCCAGTGGCACTTTAAGTTTTAGTTAAAATTTATGACTGAAGATGCTACAATGAAACATCATTTTTCTTCAGTCTTCAAGCATTTACTGAATCTCAGCCTGTGCCAAGCATATGTTCTGTGTCCTGTTTTTCTTTTGCTGATGAGGCCACAGTCTGGCCAAGGATATAACACTACGTAGCAAGTGCTCAAATAGAGATGCGTGAAGAGAACACCCGCAGTGACTCATACTGAGAGGGTCGTGTCAAGTCAAGCTTCCCAGAGAGGAAGCATTTTGGCTGGGCCTTGAAGCCTAACTTAATAAATTAATTAGGAGCATGAAGATGTTATATGGTAGGAATTTGGGGGAGTCTAACTTATTGTGAAATCTGAAGGGAGAGAAACTTCTTTGAACCTCCCATCTGAGGGGCATCGCAGCCACTGCTGACAGTCCAGGCAGCTCTAACTTGAAGCTCCGCCTACGACCACATGAAACAAGACTCCTGGGGTGAAGGACACTTGAGATCGGGAAGGCAAAAACCCTAAAAAAGATTACAGCAAAAACCATAATAAAAGATTCATGACTTTTGTTTTCCAGATTTCATTTCTTTTTTTAAAAAAAAAAGTTATTTTTACTTTAAAAATAAGATACGCGCCCTCCCTATCCTATATTCTGTGTGTGGACAACATGACGTGTTGGGTGCCTGTCATGAGCACGGCCCAGATTTCCACCCCAACTCCCAGCCCAGCACCGAAGCACTTTCCCCCCAGCTGCTGGGAGGGTTGGCATCCATGGCTCTGCTGAGTCCTTCCCAGGAGATTTAAGTTATTTTTACTTTAAAAATAAGATACGCGCCCTCCCTATCCTATATTCTGTGTGTGGACAACATGACGTGTTGGGTGCCTGTCATGAGCACGGCCCAGATTTCCACCCCAACTCCCAGCCCAGCACCGAAGCACTTTCCCCCCAGCTGCTGGGAGGGTTGGCATCCATGGCTCTGCTGAGTCCTTCCCAGGAGATTGCTTCACAGCCAGAGAGCTGTCTGCCTCAAGGTCACTCGCTCTCCCTCTCCTGGGTGACCACGTTAAATGATGGGTCAGAACGACTTTGACGGCCCCTCCCAGCTCTAGCACCCCCTCCATTGAAGTGCGTGTGTCACAGTCAGCCCAGCCCCACTCTTCACTCCCCTAGAGTGTTGATCCTGAGAACTCTTTCCCATAAACTTCCTGTATGCAGATCTCTCTCTAGCTCATAGTCTGCATCCCCCAGAACCGAGCCTATGAAGTTGGTACTAGGTGTGGTGCAAGGAAAAGGATCTAAAATAGGATTTGGGGTCTGAGCACCCACTCAGCCTAGACAGTGAGGATCCTCTCGCTGGTGGGGGTGACCGTGGGTACCTTCTGGCGTGCTGGGGCCGTGCATGGTGAGCTTTCAGGGCTGTAGGTCTTGATGGTGGATTTAGGATGGCGTCCCGAGGGAAGGAGTCTGCAGCGGGAAAGGTGTTTGGGAAGTAAGGGAAAACAGGAATTACAAGGACAGTGGATTCCAATAGCTGTTGTTGGACACGCTGGAAAAAAGACAATGAAAAGCTGAGGGTGATTAATCACCAACTGAAGGCTGAATGTGCAGGCCAGAGAGTCCTTGGCAGCATAAGGAGCGCCCCATCCCTGCAGTGAGCTCAAGCTGTGGTTGGGCCCAGGGCTTGCTTGGTGAGGGGAGCTCTGGAAGAGGCTGAGGTCCTGGCCTCCAAAGGGCCAGCACCCGTGGTCAGAGCCCTGACTGAGGTGGATGGGGCTGTGGAAGCTGATGCACTGGAGCAATCTTGAATCCCTGGGTTCTCGTGAACTCTCCCCGTCCTGCCTAAGTGCCCACTCCTTTGTTTGAGGACCTGCAGAGGCCTCTCCCTTGCATGACCACACTCTCCCCCACCTCCTTTCCTAGCCATTAGGCCACTTAGCCAGGGGTTAGTCACAATCAAACCTGGCTGTGGGGGTGCTGGGCCTATAAGAACTAGAACCCAAGGGAGGTGCAAGGCCCAGCTAGCATGCACCTGCAGGAACTGGGAGAATTGTGGGGCTGGATTCTGGGGGTATTGGGTCAAGGGGAGACAGAGTATCAATAAGACGAAGGGGAGTTTATTGATATGGGGTTTAACACCCTGGCAAGGACCCAGGGACAGGGTACCGCTCAGCTTGGAGGAAACATTGGCTGATGTGAAGTCAAGGAGAAATATGCCAGAGCTGCCCCTGCAGATGGTGGAAGAAAGAAGGAAAAGCTCAGCGTGGTGGGACTGCTGGAGTAGACAATCTGTGTGCGGCCAGAAACCCACCCGGGGCCACTCCGTGAGAAAGGCCGGAGGACA